CGCCTCGCCCGCCCCGTCCAGCGCGCCCTCGCACGCGTCCTCGTCGGCCTCGTCCCATCACTCCTCCTCCTCCTCGTCCTCCTCCTCCTCGGGCTCGTCGTCCTCGGACGACGAGTTCGAAGACGATCTGCTCGACCTGAACCCCAGCTCAAACTTTGAGAGCATGTCCCTGGGCAGCTTCAGCTCGTCGTCGGCGCTGGACCGGGACCTGGATTTTAACTTCGAGCCTGGCTCCGGCTCGCACTTCGAGTTCCCGGACTACTGCACGCCCGAGGTGAGCGAGATGATCTCGGGAGACTGGCTGGAGTCCAGCATCTCCAACCTGGTCTTCACCTACTGAAGGGCGCGGGGGCTGGGAGAAGAGGGCCGGGGGGCGGGGGAGGGGGGCAGAGAGGAAAAAAGAAAAAAAGAAAAAAAAAAGCGGACAGAGAAAGAGTTGCAAGAGAAAAGGGAAAATGAAAAAAAAAAAAAAAGGAAAAAGGAAAAGGAAAAAAAAAGTGAGCAGGGCCGGCTTGGGCCGCGTCCCGGTGGTCGGAGAGCAGCGCGGCGGCGTTTGGGGACCCGCGCTCCCATCCCCCACCTCCCCGGCCGGAGGGACGCGGCGGAGGCGGAGGTAGACAGGGGCGACCTTTTATTGTTGTTCTTGATGTTGTTGTTGATGGCGAAAAAGCGACTTCGAGTTTCCTCCCCTTTGCTTGAAGAGACCCCCTCCCCCCGCCCCGCACCGCTTCCAACGAGCTTCCGGACTTGCCTGCACCCCCGGCCAGAAGCCGAGTTGGTAGTTTTCTAAGAGACTGAAGGAATCTCGTTCCTCTCTCATCGCCCCCTTGGTATTTTATATTTGGTTTTTTTTTTGATCCGGAGAGGAGGAAAAAAAAAAAATCCAGCGCGCCCCCGGGGCGTTTTGTTCTCAGCATCCCCGCCCCCATACTTCTTCGCCAACACCCCCTCCCCCCAAGAAGACAGAAGGCTCCGGGGAGTCGAATTTGACCGACGGCAGATGTTGGAGGGTCGCACGGACCCGAGCGCCGGGACTGAGAGACTCCACGCTGGCGAATTCCCGTTTTGTTTTCGGAGGGGTTTTTTTTCCTCTACTTTTTTTTTCTCTACTTTTTTTTTTTTTTTCTTTTTCTTTTTTTTTTCTTGCCCCTGCAGCCGGAGGAGGAGATGTTGAGTGACCGGCGCTCGGAAATGACCCAAGAACCTAGTTGGAAAGCCACACCAGCCAGGGCGAGGGGCGGGGAGGAGAAAGACACGAACTGGACAGGGGCGAATAATAAAACTGAAATGGATTTGCACGTTGGGGAGAAGGTGGCGGCGTCTCCTGGGCCTCCGCCTCCCGCATCTCTGAAATCAGTGAGGTGAGACTTCGAGGCCCGCAGGCGCGGAGAAGAGGAGACTGTTTGATGTGGTACCGGGGCAGTGGAGGGCGAGTGGTGTCGGGGGGGAAAAAAAAAGGTTTTTTGCTTCTCTTAATCGGAATCGTGATGGTGTTGGATTATTTCACTGGTGGGGTTAATATAGCATGTTATCCTGTCTATCTTTTAAAGATTTCTGTATAAGACTGTTGAGCAGTTTTTAAAATAGTGTAGGATAATATAAAAAGCAGATAGATGGCGCTATGTTTGATTCCTACGACAGAAATTATCACCAGCTTTTTTTCATTCTTAACTCTTTAAAGGATTCAAACGCAACTCAAATCTGTGCTGGACTTTAAAAAACAATTCAGGACCAAATTTTTTCTCAGTGTGTATGTGTTTATTCCTTATAGGTGTAAATGAGAAGACGTGTTTTTTTCCCTCACCGATGCTCCATCCTCGTTTTTTTTTTTCTTTTTTTTTTTTCCTTGTAAATGTAATCAGATGCCATTTTATATGTGGACGTATTTATACTGGCCAAACATTTTTTTTTCTTATTTTGTCCCTTTCTTCTTTCTTTTGCTTTTTTTTCTTTTTACTTCCTTATTTACTCCTTCCTTCCTTTTTTTCTTTCTTTCTTTTTTTTTTCTTTGTAGTTGTTGTTACCCACGCCATTTTACGTCTCCTTCACTGAAGGGCTAGAGTTTTAACTTTTAATTTTTTATATTTAAATGTAGACTTTTGACACTTTTAAAAAAACAAAAAAAGACAAGAGAGATGAAAACGTTTGATTATTTTCTCAGTGTATTTTTGTAAAAAATATATAAAGGGGGTGTTAATCGGTGTAAATCGCTGTTTGGATTTCCTGATTTTATAATAGGGCGGCTGGTTAATATCTCACAGTTTAAAAAAATCAGCCCCTAATTTCTCCATGTTTACACTTCAATCTGCAGGCTTCTTAAAGTGACAGTATCCCTTAACCTGCCACCAGTGTCCATCCTTCGATCTCAGTCCTATAAAACGGGGGAGGAGAATTAGCCAAACACTGTATGATTTTAAGAAAAACAAATTTTTAAGCAAAATACTGTTTTATCCAGAGGCTTTAAAACTGGGGCATTTACAGCAAAAAGGGATCCTGTAGCTTTAACTTGTAAACCACATCTTTTTTGCACTTTTTTTATAAACAAAAACGTGCCGTTTAAACCACTGGATCTATCTAAATGCCGATTTGAGTTCGCGACACTATGTACTGCGTTTTTCATTCTTGTATTTGACTATTTAATCCTTTCTACTTGTCGCTAAATATAATTGTTTTAGTCTTATGGCATGATGATAGCATATGTGTTCAGGTTTATAGCTGTTGTGTTTAAGATTGAAAAAAGTGGAAAACATCTTTGTACATTTAAGTCTGTATTATAATAAGCAAAAAGATTGTGTGTATGTATGTTTAATATAACATGACAGGCACTAGGACGTCTGCCTTTTAAGGCAGTTCCGTTAAGGGTTTTTGTTTTTAAACTTTTTTTTGCCATCCATCCTGTGCAATATGCCGTGTAGAATATTTGTCTTAAAATTCAAGGCCACAAAAAACAATGTTTGGGGGAAAAAAAAAGAAAAAAATCATGCCAGCTAATCATGTCAAGTTCACTGCCTGTCAGATTGTTGATATATACCTTCTGTAAATAACTTTTTTTGAGAAGGAAATAAAATCAGCTGGAACTGAACCCTAAATCTTGACTTTTGTCATTATTATGCCCAGAGCCTAAGATTGGAAGGGCCCTATGGTTTCTAGAAACTACACCATCTGCCTTAGCTTTGAAACAAGTGAGTTTCAGAGAGGCCTGTTAAATGCCATCTTATTGAGGAATAATTACTAAGTTCCTCTCGCCAAGATTTTGCAGGCCCTAACCCTGAAAGGATGCTGTCAGCTGAGTATGTGTCAACTCTACATGCTTTCTAGGAATTTTCTGAGTTCACCCCATATAAATAAGCACCCTTTGTCTTGAATTTTTAAAAGGGGGGAGGGGCAACATGGACAGAATTCCTTACAGATGAAACCTGCTGGCTGATCTTTTTTTTAACTTTGTGGTCCTAAAGCTGCTTTCTCCTTGACTTGCCCAGAGTTACTAGTGGCTAGAATTGTTTCCCACAGATTAAGAACAAATATGCCTGTTAAATTATCAATATATTGTGGTGGAGAAAGGCATCACCAGTTACAAGATATAAAAGTATCCATTTTTTCCTCAAAAACAGAAAGCTTCACCTGGTGCCAAAATCTCCGTTTTGTGCCATGACCAACGCGGTTATTCATGTAAATGAAAAGCAACAGTAAGGGTGACCTGGAGAAGTTGGCTCCGTAAGAGCTAAGAGGAAAGATTCCGCCCCCACCCCCAAATCTGGGAATAGCACACATTCAGCTAGTGGAGATTTATACTTTCCATAATCATCAGGCACAGTAATAATGAGACATGTATGCAAGGAGAAAAAAGTGCCTTGAATTTCCTAAGGCCTGTTGGTATTTGATTTGGAGCCTGCACCTTGCTAAGGGGCACAATTTACTGTTTACTTTGAGGATTAACAATTCCCATTAACTAGCAAAACCCATCTTCCCTTCCAAATGTTTGTTAAAAATGTCTGCTTTATATGTCTTCTAGTTTTTCAGCACTGGAGAGGAGGGGTTAATAAGCAGACGTATGTGGAAATAACCCTTTAATCATCAGGATTGCTTGTAGGTAAGGAAGTCTCCTTCATCCTGGAATGTACAGCTGGACAGAGATTTTTGGAGCCTATAGTCCAAAACAAGCAATTTTTTTTGGTCAATGAAAAGCAGTAATTCCCCCCTCCCAAATAATACAACTATCACGTCTCAGTCTAATTTCATCTTTTAAAGATCGTTTTAGCTACTAGTCTCCAAATTTTTCTTTCATGTATTCACTGATACATTTAGTTTTAATTGCATTTGTGTTCTGTAATGGTAATATCGTTTTTTTAAAAAGATCTTGAAAAAAACAACAACATGGTATCTTAAGTTTCTTCAAACACTTTTGTAAAAGGACTCTTCCACAAAGTGCTTTAATTTTTGTTCATGGTAGTGATAATATGATTGTTTAGTTTTTTCAGACCCAAAGTATGAAAACCTTGACGTAAATGAAGACTATATGTTGTAATTTTTTAAGTATATTTTATTTTGTAGGGTTCTCCTGCTAGAACTACATTTATTCCTCCTTGACTTTCCATATAAGGACAGATGATTTAACTATTTAAGAATTTCGATAACATGGCTTTAAAAACAAAAGGTTAAGTAAAGTGTGTGTCCTTCCTAGGAGATGATCGAGTAAATGTAGGAAACATTTTTGTACTTTCTTTCCTCTGAATCGGTTTTTTTAATTTTTTTTTTTTTGGGGGGGGGTACGCGGGCCTCTCACCGCTGCGGCCCCTCCCGTTGCGGAGCACAGGCTCCGGACGCGCAGGCTCAGCGGCCAGCTCCGCGGCATGCGGGATCCTCCTGTACCGGGGCACGAACCCGCGTCCCCCGCGTCGGCAGGCGGACTCCCAACCACTGCGCCACCAGGGAAGCCCCTGAATCGGTTTTTATTCATAAGGGATACTTATGTGTTAGGTGGTACAAGGCATAATAAACCTGAGAGACCAAATAGTTTAGTATGATTTTTGCTTTCAGATAGTTTGGATCAACAGAAAACAAATTTCAGATTTTAAGAAAAAGAAGCCACTTTTCTTTAAAGATACTGCTCTGGCCCTGGGCTCCATTAGAAATGTGAATCAGTAATACTTGCTTAAGCAAGTTTTGTCGGTTCCTAGTTGAATACCTATTAAGTGCCAAGAAAAAAATATAAGCTGATAGGGTGGGCTGAGTGCCTGGATTTTCTGCTCACATTGCTTGGTGGGGGGAAAGGGGGCAGGGGTGCTGGAGGCATTAAGGGATTCTGAAGAAAGTGAGTAAGCAAAGGCCTGGGCTGTGGAC